TATAGTAATAATTCCATTCTGAACGGTCAGATTTTTTTCTCGGTTGAACGCTGCCCCTTGTATATTTATGACAACTTGTAAGAAATTTGAGCATTTGCCTGGAAAGAAAGTCTTCTACTGCATTTGATGGTTCAATAACAACCTTTTTATTGCTTAAACTGCCATTTGGATGATCTATACCAAAAAGATTATTTTCTGCGCAAAACTCACTGGAAATCAGACTACACATCTGGGTAACATTGACAAATAAAACATCATCAGTGGTCCGCAATATATCAGCAGCTCATAAGACTGCAGGTCACAGAACTAGCAGAAACGTTTGGGTTTGAAAGTGCAGCTCTATTCCTCTGTTTATTCATCAGTCGTTCTGCCCATTCACACAGACACAAGCGTCACTGCCGTGAAGATGGGTGTGCGTGAGATTCTGGCCCTATTATTTCAGGGGAAATGAACCTAATAAATGTGACGAAGATGCCAAGATAAAGCTGAAAGAATCTGAAAAACCTTTGTGTTGCACACCATTTTAATACGCATTTCTCAAAAACTAAAACAAGGAACAATGAGAATTGTTATCTAAATAAAGAGAATCAAACATTGATCGCTTTGGATTGTTTAACAACAAAACAGAATATGGACATGTAAACATCAAATCACCAATGTTCATTTTAACTTAAAGAACTCCTTGTGGAGTTTTTATAAAAACGTATCAAAGATATTGACGTCATTCATGATGTTGTAAGCAGAAAGAATTTCATTTTCTGCTTTATGACCACTAGAAACCAGAGACCTCGGCGTGGACGTTAAAACCTCAGTTTATAATTGTTTCAGTCTTTTATTTCGACATTAAAACTGCTACAAGCCAGTTTAAAGGAATAGTTCTCCCAAAAATTTGCTGAAAATGTACTCACCCTCAGGCCATTCAAGAAGTAGATGAGTTTGTTTCTTCATCAGATTTTGGGAAATGTAGCATTGCATCAGTGTCTCAGCAATGGATGCTCTGCAGTGAATGGGTGCCGTCAGAATGAGAGTCCAAACAGCTGATAAAAACATCACAATAATCCACAAGCAATCCACAGCACTCCAGTCCATCAGTTAACATCTGGAGAAGCCAAAAGCTGTGTGTTTGTAAGAAACAAATAGACTCATTCTGACGGCACCCATTCACTGCAGAGCATCCATTGCTGAGACACTGATGCAATGCTACATTTCTCCAAATCTGATGAAGAAACAAAATCATCCACATCTTGGCTGACCTGAGAATGTGTACATTTTCAGAAAAATTTTCATTTTTGGGTGCACTATTCCTTAAAAAAATAGCCACAGAAACACTTGAAATTATGACATGTGACTAAATATGCCACTGTGCACCATTGTGGAAAAATAAGCTTATTAAAAAATAAAACTGGTATTTCTCGGCATATACTGACAAAAAGGTAAATACTGAAACATTCGGACTGAAAGCTCATTCGGTGACGGCGCACATGCGGGAATACACAAATTAAATTTTTATCACGCTGTCAAATATCTGTCACGCTCACCTCTAGAAGCTAAATTCAAGTCAAGACGCGAGGCTCTGTCCAACGTTTGGCACTGGCATCGTAACAGAACAGAAACTACTATGGTTTTGAGGAGATATCAGTTTTAAAAATCAGTCAGCCAGTTTCTCTTACAATAAACCCTAAACGTTTAGATACTGCACAGGAACGGCCTCACTAGTTACTACAGTAAGCAACTGAAACACAAATAGTGAGAGTGTGTGCTGGAATGATGAGAAGAAATAAAACCACATGTATGTTCGTGTTCCTGACTGCTTTTTCTCCGTGTAGCTTTGATAGAGGAGGGAAATGAGGCAGTAAGGCTTAAAGAATATAATCAGTACAGCCAAACATCACTCGTCTGTCTTATGTAGTCAGTTCACCTTATAAAACTAGGAATTTAAAACGGTTTTAGAATAACTCTACTATAAATATATTTATGTTGTTTTCATTTACTGCTTGGAATTAAAGGTAAAAACACTGCAGAGTAAAGGCTGTGATTTGATTGGAGGAACGTACGTTTGATTGTCTGGCCTTTCATTTGGCTCTGAATGTCGGACGATGAAAGCGGCTGTTAAAGCTCTCGGCTGACGTGACAGTCACATGGGAAGCACTTAATGAAGCAGTAATGAGCCTGGGAACGCTTAAATGAGAAGCTAAATGGTGAGGTGGACCCTGCGGTATAGGTTTTTAGGGGTGGGGCGTCTCAGACGGAGAGCGACACGAAGCTGTTGTACTGTTGGATGTTGCGTTTGAGGATGTCTGAACATGGTCCCAGCACACGCTCGAAACGCGGCCTGTCCAGCTTGACGCATTTGAGCGGCCCGCGCGCCACCACGGTAGCTGCACGGGGTCGGTTCATCAGCAGAGCGATCTCACCTAGTGAGAGCAAAGAAACACAAAGATTTTATTTTTATACTTAATTATCTGCACTAATTAAGTATAATAATTACTTAAAAAAAAAAAAAGAGAATTGCAAATTCTTGGTCTAACAATTCTGCGAAATATAAACTTTTTTATAAAAGTCAGAATTGTGAAATATAAACTCACAATTTTAGTAGTAGTCACATTTTTTTTTTTTTTCTATGGTGAAAACAAAAAACTGAATTGCAAAATTCAGTAAACTCAAAAAAAAAAAAAAAATGAATTCTGAGTTTATATCTCGTAATTCTGACTTTTATCTCCCTCAGAATTATGGGAAAAAAAAGTCACTATCACCTTTTTTATTTGTATTTTTTTTCACATGCTTCCATAATATAGCTTCATGAATAACTAATAAGCATCCCGTTATAAAAAATAAACTGTATCATATCCATTAAGATAAACTTTTAATTGTATTGACTGACTGATCACATTCAGAGACCTACTATATTAATATATTTTTTTATTAATATCAACAAAGCTAGCTTGACTAGTGAGAGTGAGGTGTGAGAAACATGCAATCCATAAATATTGAATTCATAAGTTTGTCATTTATATTGTTTTATTTTCTATACTTGCTCTTTATGGTTTCATGAATAACTAATAAGAATCCCATTATAATGAATAAATTGTATCCTATCTGATGAGATACATTTTGAATTGTATTGACTAACAGATCATATTCAGAGACTTACTGCATAAATATATTTTACATTAAATGGACAGTTGTTCTGAGCCTAAATTAGTTTCTTTCTTTCATGAAATGTTTGAGGTTCCATTTTCAGAACAAGGAAAGTGGAGGGTGATTTATACTGCAAAATTCACCATCCACTTTTGTTGTACGGAAAACTCAGAAGCTCAGACGTCTCCTTTTTTTGGTGAACTATCCTTTAAGAATGTGCACTGATTCCTCCATGTTTAATGTCACTTACCGAAGTAGTCTGACGGTCCTAACCTGCCGACCTCTACAAACTCTTCATTCTCTGACCTGCGCTGCAGAACGGCTGCACATCCCTGAGGAAACAGACGGCAGGACTTCAGAAAACGCAACACTTTCACCAACACGGACACACTTTCAGCAGACGGGATACTGCACCTCCAGGATGATGAAGAACTCGTCCCCTGGTTCTCCCTGAACCACGATCTTCTGGCTGTCCTCGAACTGCACCGGCTCCAGAGCGTCAGCCACGGTCAGACGCTCCCACTTATCCAGAGACTCTGCAGAGAGCAGAAACACTCACGATACAGGAACTACACAGACAAAGCTCTCGCTCTCTCTATATATATATATCATCTGTAGTTAGGAATGTAACGATTCACTCAACTCACGATGCGATACGATTCATGATACTGATCGCACATCATGTAATTGTTTAGATTAAAGGGATAGTTCACCCAAAAATGAAAATGTATATGACTTTCTTCTTTCAGACGAATACAATCGGAGTTATGTTAAATAATGTCCAGGCTAATCCATGCTTTATAATGTGAGTGGATGGTAGCCCAAAATTTGAAGTCCAAAAGATTGCACCCATCCATCATAAAAGAAGTCCACACGGCTCCGGGGGGTTAATAAATGCCTTCTGAAGCAACGCTATGCGTTTGTGTAAGAAAAATATCCATATTTACAACTTTATAAACCTTAATCTCTAGCTTCCGCTAACTGTCGTGCATGCGTTCACGAGAGAGTGGCGTCCAGCGGATGACGTAAGCAAACGCGGTGATGAACGCGGAAGTGTGACGCACGCCGAAGCGCAGAGGAGAGAGCAAAACAAAACACCGGTCACGAATTAGTAGTACAAAACGAGGATTTGTAAAGAAAAATGTCGAAGGATTTCGATATAAGCCAAGAGGACACTGGTTTTCTTTTGATGCAAACAAAACTTGTTTCTCGCGAGACTAGCATATTCTCACCAGAGCTTATGCTACACCTACGTCTTACGTCATCCGCTGGACGCCACTCTCTCGTGAACGCATGCACGACAGTTAGCGGAAGCTAGAGATTAAGGTTTATAAAGTAGTAAATATGGATATGTTTCTTACACAAACGCATCGCGTCGCTTCAGAAGGCCTTTATTAACCCCCCGGAGCCGTGTGGACTTCTTTTATAATGGATGGGTGCAATTTTTTGGACTTTAAATTTTGGGCTACCATCCACTCCCATTATAAAGCATGGATTAGCCTGGACATTATTTAATATAACTCCGATTGTATTCGTCTGAAAGAAGAAAGTCATATACACCTAGGATGACTTGAGGGTGAGTAAATCATGGGGTAATTTTCATTTTTGGGTGAACTATCCCTTTAACCCTTACCCTGCCAAAACACAGAATTTTCCGTTTTAACTGTTATATGCTCGGGGGCACTATTACACATCTCCTGAATGAGTCCACGATCTCCCAATCAAAAACACAGGCCACGAGCGATCTCATATGTAAGCAGATGCATATAAAAAATAATGCGATCATCAACAATAAACGGCATATAAATGAAAACTGCCAAATGTTACTGAGTGAAATGGCGATCCCGGAAGTGGTAAAGGACTGTGAAGCTTTGGGGGTGTTGATGAAAGCGATCTACTGCATCTATGCTTTGGTCATCGAACTGAATATGATCCAGATATAGTTTTTGATAAAAAAAATGTTTTTTTATGAAGCTTACCTACATTCAAGTGTTGATAAAAAAAGAATGCTTGAAGCTAGAATAGATTTTTTTGTTTAAAAGTAGAGGCTCTGTTCTTTATTTTGATGCATTGCATGTTCAGATATTCATGCAACAAAATATTCGGGAGGCCATGAAATTTTAGTGAAAATGATCAAAAATGCTACATTTTTCAAAAACGCTGGCGGGAAAAGAGTTAAAAGAAGTTAGAAGCTCATGCATAGTTCATGGACTGTCATAAGGTCTGAAGAGACTCGTGTGAAATCATACAGGAGAGAAGCCAGTCTGATGAGTCTGTGGCAAAAACTTTTACAGTGCTTGGATATTGTTCTGTCTTTTATTGCATATGATAATTCACACACCGAAAGTAGAAATGAAGTGCCAGTGATTACAAGATGATTAATTAAAACATTTAAAAATGCATTTGCACTGTTTTGCATTTTGTGACTTTGAAATAAAATAAGATTCTTAAAAACAGTGTTAAAATATCATCTTCTTGTGAATCCAATTTCATGTATCATCTCGTCTTGTCTCGTGAGCGAAGTGTATCGTCACACCCCTAATAACTAGATAGACAGACAGACTTACCTAAAATAGATACTTTGCTCAAGAACTCCTCGTACATCTTCCTCTTCCTCAATGTGCTTCCCTATGATCAAACACAGGACAGAAGGATGTTTTGGAGTATAAAAAACAGAATTCAAAGTTACAGAAATTGGAGTAGATATTTCACCATTTTAAGGGTATTATTAACATGGAACAGGTGCATAATAAAAAGGATATATTTTTGGGTCCTGATATATGTGTGTGTGTGTGTGTGTGTGTGTGTGTGTGTGTGTGAGTAAAGTGCAGCTGTACCATCAGTATTCTCCTGTAGCTGTCTCTGTCGATGCCCCAGAGCTTGACGTTGGTCTTGGCTCTGACGGTGGCGGCTCTCGGGGTGCCGTAGATCAGTGCCAGCTCTCCGAAGCTGCCGCCCTCCCCGATGCTGGTGGCCCACTCACTGTTCACATACACCTGTGAGGAAACGCACTCATGACCTGCTGTACCTGCATAATGTGCCGTATTGATTGAGAACAAATCCAGGGTGGCACTCTTAGGTTGTTTTTATGTGAAGACGTGTTTAGGATAACTCACATCCATTTCACCCTGATCGATGACATAGAAGTTATCACCCTCGTCACCTAGGAAACAAGTGTGAAACAAAACAGCAAAGGTAAATCAATGTATAAATAAGGTCAATATGATTGCTCATCAGTGTTTTTAAAGCTCTACCTTGCTGGATGACAGTCTCTCCTGCGATGTAGGTGACTGGAAACATGGCATCAAATATGTCACTGTAGGGTAAAACAGAAGACAAATTTGGTCAGTAAGTTATTTTATGTCTTTTACATCACCACACTTCCCCTGTTGCTTGATTTCATTAGGAGTTACAAACATTTCTGTATTACACGTTTTCTGAAATGTTATGTCTAAATATGCAAATGAAGCATTTTCTAATTAAATATGCGATAATTCACATAAATATCCAGGATAAAATTCAAATCCAGTTTCAATATTTTTACAAAGGCGATTTTGGATTTCTCTTTTACGGAAGAGGATTAGGGCCAAGCAATAATAAAAAATAAAACCATCTCGAGATTAAAATCTTTAAATTTCGAGAAAAAGTCGAGATAAAATGTTGAGATTTAACTCATTAAATTTCGAGAATAAAGTCGTTATGTTTCGAGAAAAAAAAAAATTTGTGTTACACGTTTTCTGAAATGTTGTTTAAATATGCAAATGAAAGATTTTCTAATTAAATATGCGATAATTCACATAAATATCCTGAACAAAAATCTAATCCAGTTTCAATATTTTTACACAGGAATATTTTTTTTACAAAGAAAAAAAAACAGTATTTTTTTTTAAGAATAAATTGTTGTATAAAATCATGCAAATGATAATGTTTGGTGTATGAAAATCTTGCTTAAGTGGAAAAAATAATCATGGCCTTTAAAGAATCTAAACACATATAGATAACGTGCAATAAAATAAACACTTAAAAGTTTGTTTTGCATTTTCCTTTTCACTAGTCTGGGGGAAAAAAAATCTCAAAACTGACCAGTGCATGGGGAAAAAAAAAAGTTTTGCCTGTAGTGTCCTGCCTAAAAAACTAAATAATGGCTAAAGGAACTAAAACACTAAGTCACCTTCTTTCATTGTCGTCCAGATGTGAGAAGAGCACATTCTTTTCGATGGCTTTGGCGAGAGCAGCCATGGTTTTGTAGTCTTTAGGAATGACCTTCACAGAGAAGACAGAAAACACGACTGACTGACCTATGGAGTCCAACACACGAGACATTACGTCATTCTGAGAGATACAGACCTTCCTGACGTAGGAGGTGGCGTCCTCCTCGGTGTAGACCTCAGCGCTGATGGCTCCTCTCCGCCTGCGGCCCTTCACCACCGGGTTCATGGGAGGAGACACCTCATCTTCACGAGAGTCTGAGCGAGAACTGGCCTTCTGCTGGTTTAAGAGCTGCTTAGCTTCCTCCTGCACATGAAGATGCATGAATATAAATATATATAAAAACAAAGATACATGTGGTTGTGCATTACCGCATGGGCCATCTGTTGCTTTTATGTCATGTCAGAATTCTGTACGAATAAATGCAAACCTTTTCCAGCCTTTCGAAGTATTCTCTGAGGAAGGCCATGGGTCTGTCGGGTCGTGAGGTGCACAGCTGCACGATGCAGTCCTTCAGCAGCTGCTGGACGTTGTGTTTCTGCACGTATAACTCACATTCCCTCAGACTCTTCTCCTCCTCGCTGCTCACGCTGCCTGATGCCATGCTGAACGCTGGATCTGACCTTTGACCTGCAGCGGTGCACAAACACCAATCACTGCGTTACAATTACAACAAGTGACACACGGGACAACTCAGCAAGATGCTGATCGAATGAAACCAGTGTCGATCTTTCTCGTTGAGAAGTTTAATACAAGAGAACAAAGCATAAGTGTTTGACAGCGTACAAAAATAAATAATGAAAACATTCAATAAATACAAATGATCTAAATATAGTCTTTTTAATGAAACATCTTTAATATAAAATGTAACTTGGCGGACAAAATGAAATGGCATCACTTTACAATAAGGTTTAATTTGTTAACTTTAGTTAACTATATTAGTTGACATGGAACCGTAATAATGTTATTCCGGATTTTTTAAATGACGTGTGATGTACTTTGTTATGATGGAAAAAGAGGCTATTGCTGTGATTGCCTACAGAATTAATGCAGAAACACTCAAAACGTAATTAATATTCATGAAAATATCATTAATGTCTGCACATGACTATAAATACATTTAAAGGGGTCATTGAATGTTCTGCCCGAGCTGGATTACAGCATCATCTCAGAGATGAGATTGATGTCAGTAATAATCTGGAGATTATATTTGTTTCAACACACCTGGACAGTTTGATCCACTGCATGAACCATTATATAAATGATTATTTACAGAAAAACAACTTCATGCTGCAGGTTGATTATTATGTTGACATAAAATCATTTTTCCACTTCAACAACATCAATCAGAATACTAGTGTATATAGAATAAAGGATAGTTTTAGATCTATTTTACAAGACCAAAGGAACATACAAATATTATGCGATGCGTATGAAATATTAGTTTAATACACAGACGCATATCAAAACGCACCTTAGACTGTCTAAATACAACACAGAGCAGACATGCCGTTATCTAACCTCAACGAGAACGTTAAAACCGTAAACGCATAACATATAAAAGGTTAATGAGTGGTTTTGCTCAATGATATTTGAAAATAAGAAGCCATAAGTCTCTAAGAGAAGGCCGCTGAGCGGTCGCCATCTTTATCTGTATCATAAACAAATGTCATTTCCAGCATTTACCGATAATCATAGATGCTGCACGACAAAACATGACACGTTAACTACCGTTATTCCTTACCGAGGCTTTAAAACGCGACTCGGATTCTGCGTTATTCCGTTATTCAGACGCGGCACAGCAGCTCTTTATTCTTCACGGGCGCTCGGACGTCTGCTCACCGGAAACAGCAAAGCACCAATCAAAGTCTGCCAATGACGTCAATTGGCCCCGTTCTCGCATGGAAACGGTAACCCTTGGCAACATAAAAGAGCGCGTAGCACGACTAAACCTGAGTAAGTTACCATACTCAGAATTTCCTTTATAAAACACTTGATCTTTAACATCTTGATCTTTTATGTATGTTACCTGTTTAGACAGCTTTATTTTATTTTATTTGATCTTATTTTATTTATTTTATCTATCTTATTTCATTTTATTTAATTGTATTTATTTTCTTTATTTTGTTTTATTTGATCTATCTTATTTCATTTTATTTAATTGTATTTATTTTCTTTATTTTATTTTATCT